TCTCCTCTCCCCTCCCCTCCCCTCTCCTCTCCTCTCCCTGAAATCAATAAAGATATATTAAAAAAAAGAAAAGGGAAAGCCAACCGCAAGCTTAGAAAGCTTTCCTAATCCTGAAATGAGGAACATTTCATCTGTTAAAGTTTGTTGGGAGGGAGGTACTTCTGTTTTAATTTCAGATTTTATAAGTTATTTTACTAAATCATTCACTTATGGCTAGTTTTCAATGAATGTGAAAATATAATTCACATTATTTTGTTTCCGCCATATCAAAATGAAAATATGCAAGCTGGGCCAGCTGCATAACTTATGAGCCCAGCGCAAAATAAAAATGTGGGCCCCGTGTTCAGAAAATTAAGACTCTCAAGCAGCTTTCGCACAGCACTGGACCGCGCCCGGGCCCCTTCGCGGGGCGGCCACAGGGCCACGAAGCCAGCCGCATCCATCGGAGTTTATTTCAGCTGCAGTGATGGAGGAACCAAACCTCACTTCCCTTTGTCCCTTGCGTCCCTAGTTCTGGACTAAGCGTACGGCAGGGATTCCAATGTTCGTTGAATGAAAAGTTGAGTCTTACTGGCAGTTTTGCAGGTCAGTGAGAAATGGCCAGGGAGCAGTGCTGGTGCAGACCGCGCTCGCGGCGCTGGTGACAGTGACGGCGGGTTCCTTCAGACGCGAGTAATCTGCACATCACGCCGGCTCACGGGAGCCTGCGGCACGCACAGTGAAGGTTCACGGACCTCGTTCAATGGCCTTTATGGAGCAGTCCCTCTGCGAGGCCCTGGGCCGGCCCTGGGGACGGGAATAGAGGCCCTGCCCTCGAGAGCTTACAGTCCAGCCTCGGAGCGCAGGGAGAAAGCCTGGTGCCTAGCACACTGTCTGCAACATCCCAAACTTCCTGGAAACGGGAACCTAAAAGTTACTAGAAAGCACAGTTTGGAAACAGAAGATGCAGTGAAGTTTAAAAGAAAAATAATTCATTTTTAATGTAAAAACTGTGAAATCTAAATGAGGAAGAAACTTAGGAAAGCTGAAAATTCTATTTTAAATACTTTGAACCAGATTTAAATTTTAAAAATTATTTTATTACCTCTGGGTGACATCTTCACTTATAGTGACATTTATATACACATACATACAGTTGTGTGCATGTGGGGTGTGCTCCTTGGAGCTTCTGATAAAACCCCTATTTCTACCGCCAATTCACTTACAGCTAGAGAGCAGAATGCAGCGACACTTGAGACCTGCCTTTGAGAATTTCTGATTATCCCCTGAAGGGGAGGAATTCTCAGAATCATCTTTAGGGCATAACTTTTAGTGCGACCTTACGGTGCAGTGAGACTGGACTGTGTGTGTTTAACATGTGATCACTTAAGCATATACTTTAATGGTTACAGACATTTAATGGCATCAAAAACACTCCTAAGTCTGTCTGGATCTGATTTTCACTGTTTTCCCCCTGCATTCTTTTTTCTTTCTTGACAGCATGAAAGACCCCTGTGCAAACACAGAGCCTCGCTGTTCTTTGCAGTCCTTTGGTGCATTGCTGTTTATTCCTTAATCTAACAACACCTTTAATTTGAAGTATTTTACTTAGTGGCAACTGAAAAAACCACTGAGCTAGGCTTTAACTGGAAACTTCTATTACCCAGAAGGTTACTGTGAACTGGTCAGAAAGGTGGTAGGCAACCAAGAGCGGGCTCAAAGACCGCGCACCCCGAGCCCGTCTCAGACGCTGAGCAGGCTTGGTTACCTCACCCCCGCTCAGGACAGGTGAACACAGCACACCAGAAGGAAGTGGGGCATCTCAGGGGCAGGCATAGTGCTAGTGCGGAAGGAGAAAGAGCAGACTGCTTAGCAGACATAAAACATTTTAAAATTAAAATAAAACACCAGCAATCTGAGGCAAATGATTATATATACCCCAGGGTTGAGGGAATCACTTTATAATAATTGATATTAACTCGTATTTGTTATAGCCCTTTACATTTTATGAATTATTTTATATACAATAGACCTCAATGGATATTTATAATGATACATGAATATAACTTTTACTTTTCATCATGAAAATGTGAATTATACTGAGCATGCTGTTTAAGAAGGCAGGGAGGTATACTAACATCTGAAAGACATCAAAAATAATTACAAGTTTTAAATTTTGGCACTTAAGAGATATGCATTAGTTATCCAACAATTCATATATATGCTTTCCTTTATGACCAACACAGGGTAGTATTTAGTGAAATTTCATCGCTCTCTGTCACTGCTGGCCACTAAATGGGGATGATTGTCATCAGTAAGTTATCAGAATATTTCTCTTGTTAAACACAAGCTTAACAGATACTTATGGATGCCAATACCATATATTCTGACTAATTGGGAAACACTAGGCTTCTCAGAATATTTTCCCTACATTGCACTTTCTAACAAACAAAACTTTAGTACTAACAGTATAATGTGATCTTGGTTCTAGACATAGAAGTGGGGGATGTGTGATTTACCTTTTCCTTGTTTTTCTAAAATTTTTGGTATAGCTTCTTCTCAGGATGTAACAAAGAGAAATGACAAAATATACATGTTCTTTGGGCTTCTGAGAAAAACCACCACACACATTTTCAAAATAACACAGATCTCATCTGCTTTCGCCACCGTTTTCACAGCTGAAAATAAGGAACTGCTACGTATTTGATGTTCCTAAACTCATTCAACATAGCATTGCCATAAATACACTGTTCTGCAGAAAGCTTTAAATTTTAAAAACCAAAGTATAATTTATACTACATTTACCAGGAATTATACTATATTACCAATTATAATACATTTACATTTACCAATTATCATGAATAAAATTGACTAAATAAAATTTAGAGTAAAAAACACCCGATTAGATTTTATACTCCAAGTGAAAGAGGACCTTGACATTGTAAGGTATAATTTCCTCTAATAGTTTACCATTCCTGATGACTTTTAATTCCTTGCTTAACATCCCTGATGACTTTTTGATCATGACCATACCTCAAAGAGGACAAAGGTTGTTTTGTTGAGTTTGCTGGCTGTTAATTTTTAAATCTCATCTGTGTGGCTCTATTTTTATACAAGGCTATTTATCCTCTATTTTTCTTTATTTTATAGCTACACATCCTGCTTGAGGTTTTTTAGTTAGGAATGGACTGTATGTATGCTCTGCAGTTTATAGTATTAATTCTAAAGGAAACCGTAAGTCTTGTCAATGTTCTTTACATGAGGCAGGAAGTAAACCAGCTCTGTAATAAAGAGCTTCCAGAGGATGCTAAACAAGTAAATTAACAGGCCAGTTTACCATCCTTTACAAACCAAAGGGCAGAATGGTAGGTCAATAAGAACAGGCTTTGGACTGAGACAGACCTGGGTTCGAATCCCAGTGATGCCACCCAGTTCTGTGACTTAAGGCAAGTCACTTAAAACTTTCTGACACTCCATTTCCTCCAAAGTAAATTGGTGCTCATCCACCTACTCTGTGAGGGTTAATAGTAAAATATGTACATTATTTAACATGTGATAGATTCTCTTTAGTGGTTAAACAATCACAGACTGAAGTTTAGAGTTCGGCAACATGTTCGCCCAGCATCTCACATGGAGCTCTCTACAAAGGGGATGCAACTTATGGAACCTTTTTGTGATTATCAATACAATCATTGTACCTAGCAGCTTATTTTTAATGTTAACATTAAGTGTTTCTGCCTCCAAAACTTTCTTTCAAATGTTTTTTTTTAAAAAGTTATGACAAACCTGTGTTTTCACTGTACTTTGTCATAATTTTTTTTGATGACTAAAAAATTTCCAAATTTTAAACATCCATGGTAAATTTATCTAATTTTAAAAATTTGTCCTAGAGCCAACATCATTCCAAATGAGATGTAACCTTTATACATTGTGTGGTGTCTGGTAGGCCCTACCAAAAAAAAAGTCGTTTTTATTCATGTATTTGGGCTGCTTAAACATTTCTATAAGACTTAAAATACTTTTCTTCTTATGGTGGAATTCGCAGCATCTACTCCCATACTTCCCTTTTTCAATCCCTTGGCCAGTTTAAGAGTATTCACAATAGCACAACTTAAAGATGAAATAAAGTATCCATAAGTCATTGTTTTAACAGACAGCACAATACATTAGAAATTGCCCTGAGCAAGGAATTAGGAGACGTGAATTCGAGTCCTGGCTCTGCCATTATTTTTTCAAGATAACTTTAGGCAAGTCACTTAACTTCTCTCATTCCTTAAAAAATGAGAATGATTCCATTTTATCTTATTTTCTACCTCTAAAATTGCTTTCATTTACTTTTTTTTTTTTTAAATGATTAAAATGCCTTCTGGGAGTTGTGTTAAGCACCTGATGGGTACAAAAGTATTTACTGATGTTTAAGGTAGTGTTTTACAAACAGTGATCCAGGGGCTATCTGAATAAAGACTGCATGGTGTTCCTGTTAAAAATACAGATTCCCGTCCTCTCACTGGCAGAATCAGAGCCTCCTAAGGTAAGGACATTTTCTGTGTTTTTCACAAGCTCCTCAATGGTTAGAATGTACCCTAATGTTTGAGAACCACTGGCTAAGAGAATGTGATCTAAGAGGGAAAAAGCCAGCATGTGACTTCAATTACTCTGGCCTCTGGCAAATCCCTTCTAAACACCAAACCATTCAAAGTGGAGAAGACTAGAGGAAAGCTGCTTACTTCAGCAGAGCGGTCAGCCCTGGGCTGGAGCCCTGCTTGATGTGTTTTATTTGCTGTGCTCCATAATGAAACACAACAAAAGGTGTTCATATCAACTCTTAGTCTTAACATCCATATCACTGACTACCACAGTTATGCCAACAGCTTGAAAGGGACTGCAGTTCTCCTCTCACTAATGCTAAGAAAGTTGACCTTGTGCCACCTGGCTCAGGAAAGAAATAAGAGTAAAACACACCTTTTTATTCTCGATTCCCCCTTCACCCCAATACTATAACGTCATCCTGTGTGATTCAAATAATCTGGCAGAGAAAACAGAATATCTGAGCCACACTGTTCTCATCACTCTTCGGTCAGATAGTGTACTAATCCAATAAATAAATTCTATTCTATACAATAGAAATGACCAAAGTCCATTCCTTCTCCCCTCTTCCTCTCTAATGCTGTTGACAGGAACAAAATACCAAGTAAGGACACATGCTAGAGATTTTAAAATTCATACAAGTAAAGTAAATTACAAGGAGAGGTGATGTTTTTTCCTAGAATTTCACAACAAAGCCCTCCCATGATGAAAAAATATGTAGAATTTTAACAAGAAGCTTAAAAGACATTTGTTGCAAGACTAACAGTTATGAGAATAATGCCATTATCTGTGCCCATTACTGAGAAACATAACAGCAACTTTAAAAGGCCAAGTATACTGATAAGTGAAGATGAAATTTCTTTTTCAACCAGTATGCCAACATCAAACTTTTGGACATTATTCTAGTGTGACAGGTTGCTCCTAACCCAACCAAAACTCCTGCCAAATGTCCACAAAATTCACACCAAAATCAAAAACAAAAAACAAAAAGTAAGAAACTTGACAAGCGCTACCATGCAAAATAACCAGAAGAGCTGGGGTTCAGTGGCACAGATCAGCAGGAGCTGAGGAATGCTGCAAAACATGATGCTGCATAGAGTCTAACTTGGTGATGCCCCTATTATGCTGGATGAACAAGTCCTCAGGTCACAGGTATGTTCATGGACCCATAAGAATCAGGATCTTGACCCAAACTTTTAAGATCTTCTAAAAAGAAAATACTTCACCTAAATTGAAGTCATTTATATGTCAAACACCAGAAGAGCTGCTTATTTGTTGTAAGTTGTGCCTAAAACTTAGGCTGATACAAAGAAACCCGTCCACTAAGGCACCCTGAGGCAATCTGACAATGTGTTGGAGAGAACTTTGTTGTCAGTACAACATCATTATGAGAGTACAGAGATCGGATCACCCGCAGGGGACTGGCTTCTTTGGGCAAACAGTCAATAAGTTCACTGCACTGTTTGTCAAATCCCAACAAGCGAATCCCATAGCCATGTGGGGAAGAAACCATTCGCCCATCAGGGCTGAAGCAAAGTTCTTTGATGTAACCCCTGCCTACATTGGCTTCTTCAATGTAATGAGTCAGTCGTAGAGAACAGCGAGGTGAGACAGGACGCACAGGAGCTCCTTCTTGGAATTCATAAACACAAGTCCACTAGGGAGAGAGGAGAAAGACAAACCAAAATTAGAGAGTCCCAAATAGTGCTACAGATATTCTTTAAAACAAACAAATAAGCAAAAACTCAACAGAATGCTAAAGCCATAGAACTGTTGCAAGAAATCATTTAGATGAATGCTATCCCTCTTTCAACTGACTTGTAGGCCTCATACCCCTAACTTCATTAAGCTGGGGGTTATTCTGTACTCTGATACTTTAAAGCCTTTTATTCACAGAGACCGCTGTGATTTCTGTAGTAATAATTCCCTCTTCTTAGAGTAACAACAATCTTGATATTTAAAAAATTCTAGGGTTAAGACAGTCAAGCCCTAGAATACCTCCCTACACACTTCAAAGGCTCTTCTCCCCTTCTGTCAGTTGTGGATTCTAGAGCTAGTGAGATTCTTGGAGGACTCCTGCTATTCAGAGTGATGAAAATCATAAGGCCATATAAAACCATTCCTCCTAGTTTCAGTTTAGTTCCTTCCTTTCCCAAAGTTTCCCCTGGTTTTTTAAATGAGGAAATTATTACACTCAATTGGCTTAGCAAAACCTCACATTTAGCCAGCCTAGCCAAAACATCTCAGTAGGGTTTTTTTTATGATGAGCCAAAGAAGAATTACAAAGCTGGAAACAATCTGAGCTGATCATTGCTTTAAAGCACTTGCCAGCTTGCCACACCCAGGCCAGAGAGGAGGCAGAAGGGATTTCACGCACCCATGGCAATGGCAGTTTGTTCAGCTGGCCCTGTGGAGGGGGAGTGCTGCCACCATACCTCCTGATCGTCAGTGTTGCTTGAGCACCGGAGGAGAGTGGCCCAGCCTTTTGGGTGAAGCTGTAAGGATGTGATGCAATTTCCACGGTCTCTCTCACCAGGAACTTTAGGGGTTAAAACTTCAAGACTATTTCGAGGTGAAACTCCTGAGATACAAGAAAATTAAAATGTAGGATTTATATTATTAGAGGACTAAGGTAGCTTATCAAAGCTTTGATTTCTTGGGGTGTTGAACATACAATATACAGATGATGGGTTACAGAATTGCACACCTGAAACCTATGTAATTTTATTAACCAATTCAATGAAAAAGTAAAAAAAAATATTTTAAAAATAATTTTTTTTAAAAAAAGCTTTGAATTCTGTCAGAAATCATGTCCTTATGTCTTCATTCCTTTGTCTTCATTCCTTTGTCTGTCTTATGCTACCACATGTAAAAAAAACAAAACAAAAACAAACAAACAAAAAACCACGGTGCCCTCAATATGTGGAGTGTGTCTTTGGGATGAGGGGGAAGAATATAACTAGAACTAAAGAATCCAAGTTCCTGTAGCAGGAATCACCAATGACCTAAGGCTAAGGTATTAAAACTTTTGATTTGGATTACATCTCAGAAAGCTCTTCATTTAAGTAAAATCAAAGTTATGTAACATGAAAGGAATCTGGAAAAGTAAAAGATAAAAATTCTCATCTCAGAGGACCTGGTGCAGAGAAGGAAATACTTGGAAGCCATGAAAACTGCCATTATATAAATAAAAGGCCATTATGTATACAAGCAGTGCGACTTATGGCTGTCAAGGACAGTGCTATAATTTTGGCGGTGAGGGAGGACACTTCACATAGAGGCATGTCAAAACAAGGGGTGGGAGATGTTGCCAGTCATACATACTCCTGGTCCTCTGGTATGGCCCCTCATTTCCTTCTACCTAGACCCAATGACAGTGACTGCTGCAGTGAGCCATTGTCCCTTCTGGGAGTATGTCATATTCCTCAGGTATATGGAGAAACACTTTTACAGACATTATAAGAAAGCAGCTTAAAAATGTAATATCAAGCCCTAGCCAGTTTTGCTCAGTGGTTAGAGCATCAGCCAATGGACTGAAGGGTCCCGGGTTCAATTCTGGCCAAGGGCACGTACCTTGGTTGCAGGCTCGATTCCCCCGGCCCAAGTGGGGGCTCGTGTGGGAGGCAACCAATCAATGTGTCTCTTTCTCTTTCTCTCTTTCCATCTCTCTCTCTCTCCTCCTTTCACTCTGAAAAAGCAATGGAAAAAATATCCTCGGGTGAAGATTGAAAAAAGAAAAAGTAATATCAAGAGAAATATTTCAACATTTCTCTTCCTGTGGAAGGAGTTCCTTTGAAGATAATAAGCTCCCTCAGTCACACCCTTTGTAAATCGTGTCTCAAAAAGATGTATTCTTTTATATATCTTTATTGATTTCAGAGAGAGGAAAGGAGAGGGAGAGAGACAGAAACATCAATGATGACAGAGTCATTGATCGCTGCACCCTGCAACCCGGGCATGTGCCCTGACCGGGAATTGAACCCCAATTGCCTAGATCCTAGGTCAATGCTCAACCACTGAGCCATGCCCAGCCGGGCAAAAAGATGTATTCTTTTAAAAGATTCCTTTTATATTACTACAGCATTGATGGAAACCTGTGAAGCTCTAAATCACACTGTTACAACTAAAAGATACCTAAATAATGATTCCACATGTGTTTAAACTTTAATAATTTTCAAGAAAAACAAATCTATTTCAAGAATTTTGAAAATCCGTAACAAAAGCAGAAAAGAAACCCATTCTAAATAGCTAAGTAGTGGTTTCCAAGCTGTGCTCCTTGGAGGTTCCTCAACAGTTGGCAAAAGGGGAGAACCACCTGGAGACCAGGGTAGAGATGGGGTAGGTCAAGGGTTTCCCTAATTTCATTTGAACCAGTTACTCCACTTTTATTTGTACTACATCCGTAAGAATCCACAGCAAATTTCATATGGAAAAATACAGTTTTAATCCTGAAATGAGTTTCTGCTCTTTACAGCTATCATATCTGCCAAAGTATGGTGCTAACATAGGCCAACACCTGGAGACCCAGGGTTTCCAACACTTAGAGCAACCTTGCCTCCAAGTCCCACCTTCTCTCTTTCCACCCCCTGATTTTCTTGTTCTCTCTGCCCAGGCTCCCAGTACATCACTTCTTCTCCCAGATGCAACTCTTGATAGCATAAAACTGCTATAAAGTTTTGCTTTGGGGTTTACCAATGTAGCAAGCAAGCTTGTGAGCTATTCTTCTTAAGTTTCTTTTTTTTTTCATGGATGGTTTAATCAATAAATATTTTTTTCAATGATTTTTAAGAACCTTGGCTTGTTTCCCATAGCCAAAGAGGAAGGAGAAGAACAGGAAGAATCTGCAAAAGAAGTTTTTGCTACAAATCAAAGGAGAAATGTTATACATCTGGGCATAAATCTCTAAATTTAAGAGGAAGAGTTTTTAACCTTAAAGTGAAACATCAGTCTTCAACATCCAGAAGAAAGTGAATAAGCTATAGGTTAGGTGAGGAAGGGCTCTCAAACCATTCTACTCATGTAAGTAGTCATGCAAAATAATCAAGTATGCATTTATAAAGCACTTACAAGACGGGCCACCCAGGGAAAACACAAATTACAAGTCTAATGTATAATCCTTCCCATAAATATCTAGGTAGGAGACATGCTTATCAGCAAAAGGTGACCCCAAAAAACTGTATCTGGCCATCAGTCTATAAAGGAGACAAACAAAAAGTGCTGTAAGAGTTTAACTGTGGATTAGTTTGGAGAGGGACTATAGGCAAAATTTGCACGGGTAGAAAGCATTTCAATCAGAAGGTGGAAGGAATAGGCCAAGCAGCTAATTCTGCCAGACTGGCTGGGGAAAAACTGGCAAAAGCAGAGTGGGGCCAGACTGTAGCTCACTTCATTCCACCAGCCCTCTGTCAGTCATTGCTCAGATAAGGAAATGCAGAGTAAAAAGCCTACTGGGCTGAAACCAGGTGACTTTTACAAGCACCTAATAAATGCATCCTCTTATATTTATACAGCACTGTCACATGTATAATATCATTTAATTTCCATAATAACCTTGATTGGAATCTACATTTCCCAACTACTTCTTCTACAAACTACAACAAGCTAAGTCCAGGAAATAAAATCAAAGCTTAAATTCCAACGAAGATTTAAGCCCAAGATACTCAACCCTGGAGACTCTGTTTAGCTTTTTGAAAATGATAACTGAGGGGCAAGGAACAGCCTCATCTTTATTGGTTAATTTTATGGATTAAAGCTAAACCAAAGAAAGCTACTTGGTAGAATCTATTGTTGCAGGATTATAAAATCCAACTTTTAACCTACCTTCTCTCTGTGAGGCTCGTGACATATGTTTCTCAGAAGATGAATTAGAATCACTGTGATGACAAGGTGAACCAGAAACTCTAGGGCCAGATGAACTCGATGAAGTGGTCAGATCTTAAAAATACAAAAAATTCTGAAAATACACCTAGCAAAACTCTGGTAATGTCTCTTAACTTTTTAATCATCTATTTGAACCATACTGTTAAAATCCGTCTGAAACATGGTAAGTACATGTCCACTCAAAACTGGCTTATAATTAAGACTGAGGTAGGACAGCTCTTTGAAGTGTTCTATCTAAGGCCTAGTCCTTTTTTAAAACCTTTTATTCCAGTGACTAGCTTAAGTGAAATAAAAATGAAAAAAAACAAACACAGGAGCATCTTTTGGCTTTGCATCATTTGTGCAATGAAATGGAACAAAAAATTCAATGAGAATGAAAACTGAGCTGTTCAGCCTGCTGTTTAATGTTAGAATAGGGCCCAAACAACAGGTTCATTACTGAGAACATGAACAGATCCTTCTTAAAGCACACCAAATCCCCTATTATCATTCTTAAATTACATGAACACTATCTTTGAAATGCAATACAAACTTTATGTTGAAATCTGTAGAAAAAGAAAATGAGTATCAGATAGCTGAGTTTGAGGTAGTACTCCAAATAGCAATTTCTATTTCATCACACTTTTCTAGCGGCCCCACACTTCTGTGGGGGCTTATTAATTTAGTTCCCTTTAAAGTAATTAAGTACCAGAATTACCCTTAGAAGTCAAAAAACCTTCTTGGTTTTTGAATAAAAAAATGCCAACTAGGCACAGATGGGATGGCTCAGTGGTTGAGCATCGACCCATGAACCAGGAGGTCACAGTTTGATTCCTGGTCTGGGCACATGCCCAGGTTTCAAGCTCCGTCCCCAGTAGGGGAGGTACAAGTGGCAGTCAATCGATGTTTCTCTCTTGACGTTTCTATCTCTCTATCCCTCTCCCTTCCCCTCTCTCTAAAATCAATAAAAATAATTTTTTTTAAATGCCAACTAGTCCTTTAAATCGCTACTTCTCAGAAAGCAAAAGTTGATTATTAATATTTAACTGGAAAAAAAATCTGAATCCAAAAGGATTGCATCCCTTGCTTGCAAATAAGTTGATAGAACTTAAATTTCTACGTTTAGCAGTGAAATTGGGCAACTACAGTACAATGAGGCCTGCACACTCCCAAAAGAGTCCTCAGAAATGGCTCTATGCACACAGGAGAAAGATTCTAATCATCTGAAACTAATATTTAATAGCAATTTATGAACATTATGTGTTCCAAGTGGGTATGTTCCCAGATCAGCCCTCTTTTTCCCAAAGGTAGATGAAATAGTTTCTATTACATAATGTAGATAAATTATAGTACATAAATATTTCTAAGCCTCAATTTCACTTAAGTCTGATGGAACCAGCAATAGGGGAAAGAACAGAACTTCAGCAAGAGGATGTTTATAGGTCATGAGATAAGATTACCAGCTACCTGTGACTGGGCATTTGGAAGCCTAGTATACAATACAGACTTAAAACTAAAACTCCATATTGACTATAACTTAAAAGCTCTGCTGGGTTCCAGAAGAACTTTAAAAGATTCAGACTATCTTAGACCATCATTAATTTTTGAGATAGTGATGATTTAGAAATACCGATAAAAGATTTTCTGGCTAGCAGAGAGCTAAAAAGAAATGTTTTTAGAGTTAGCAAATGATCTATTCTTCCTAGCTCATTTGTGATCAGAGGGACAAATTAATGCTATGTCAGAGATACATACAGATCATTATATTTCCTTGAGAAAAAAGCTCTTGCTGACCTTGCTAAAGAATGTCTTAATTTTCTTCCCTTCTTCCTGCTATCATTCTCAGAATGGAAACATAACATTTCTCTATGTCTGAGATTCTTTGGAAATTTCTTCAAAAAAGAAAAGCTTACCTGAACTTGATGTAGTTCTTCTTGCCCTCAAAATGGGATAGCTGCCTACTTCTAAAGACTTGGTTAAGTCAAGATCGTGCAAAATCAAGAGATATCCAGAGGACGTTGAGATCAACATTTTGGAACAATCTGGTGTTAATCTCATTCTCATGAGAAAACGTGTGTGAAAAAATTTCTTATGCGGACACCCATCTTCTGTACACCTACAGAAGAAATCAAACCAAAAAAACTTAGAGTTATCATAAATGTAAGGATTTGCAGATAGTCATGTTTTGCCCTTCAAATCAGAATTTAAAATCAATGTATCTTAGACTTACACGATTTTTTTTTTGCTCACCATTCACTCTTTCATCTCCAACTTTCTTTTTTAGATTATTCTCTCTTTCTGAAGTATATGTTNAATTTTTTTTTTGCTCACCATTCACTATTTCATCTCCAACTTTCTTTTTTAGATTATTCTCTCTTTCTGAAGTATATGTTTTTAAGATTTTGTTGAGGTAAACCCACTTTTTGTTGTTCTGGAAATCTTTACTTCACTCTTCTTTTTGATTAAAGGTTTAGCTGAGCAAATAACTTCAAGTTGATAGTTATTTCTTTCTGAATTTCGAGGATATTCCACTGAGTTCTGATTTACATTGTTGCTATTTCTAAGTCTGCTATCAGTCTCATTGTTACTTTGGGTAATTTACCTTTTTTCCCCTCTGATTGATCTTTGTCTTTGGAGTATTGCAGTTTCACTCTGATATGTGTAAATTTGGATTTCTTTCTATTTATTGGGATTCATTTGAGTTTCTAAATCTTAAAGTTCATATTATTCATATATTCTGGAAAATTCTCTATCATTATTCCAATATTCCTCTCACCTATTTTTTCTATTCTTTTAGAGCTCCAAATAGATGTCTGAAACATTCACATTTGACTCTCATCTCACACCTGCTCTTTCATGTTTTCGATCTCCTCTTTTCCATATGTTGTATTCTGGGTAAATTTTCAATATCTATATTCCAAAGCTGTGTCTAATCTGCCACTTGACCTGTTCTATGTGTTTTTAAATTTCCATAGTTTTATTTATTTATTTATTTTTTACTTCTATGTGGCTCTTTTTCAGATCTGCCTGGTTTTCTGAATAGATTCTTATTCCTTGCCTATATTTTTCATTCCTTCTTTTATTTACTTTTTTGTTAATTATTTTTTAAATTGTGAACTGTATCATACCTACAGAAAAGTACGTAAGTAAAACATATGAAAAGTCTGAAGAAAAATGAGCACCTGTGATTCATCACCCATGTTAAGAAATAGAATAACACCAGTTAGTTAAAAGTCCCCTCTATTTCTCTACTCTGTTGCATCCTTCAGTCAACATTCCATGCTTCAAGCATAAAATGCACTTTATCTCTCGGATAATATTGATAGGTTTTTAAAATTTTAAGTTTTCTTCTCCCTATGTAGTTTCTATTTCCTCCAAAGTACCTCCCCATTTGTGTAAGTCTTTATATTAGAAGCTTTTCTCAAATGTCTGAATATTTTTAGCTGTCTGCTCATAATTAAGAGTGGGGCACTAAAAAGTTGACTGGGAACTCTCTGAGTGCTGGACAGGCTTGAGCTTCACTCTGTAGGGTGAAACTATTTTTTAAGGAACTCCTACTGTGAGTATGTACAGTTCATTAAATGGAAGAAGCTAAGGGTCTTTGAAGTCAATATTCAGTGTGCATGTGGTAGGTCAGTTTTCCTGGTTTTGGTAAGGTACCCAATCCTTCAACTGTGTCTGGCACCCTTCACTGCATGGATTCTCTATTTTACCCTCTTTAGAGGATAAGATTTGAAACTTCTGAAATGGGAGGTCGATCAATCGCCCAGTGGTATAGATTAGGGGAAGAAACGTAAGTTCTTAAATACCTTTCACTTGAATCCTTACTTTAGCTACCTCTTCTGTTACAGAGTACCCAGAGTTGCCAGTCCCTCTGATTTTTGATGATTTCGTATAAGTTGTCTTAAGTTCTTAACTTTTCCCCACTGCCAGCTTAGGATTTAGCTTTCTTGCACTTACTAAATCAAGTTGTTTAAGTAAGTTGCTAAGTCAGTTGCCACTCATCTACATAGTCTCCAGATTTAAAAATTTTATTGTCATTGCTTCCTTTCCTATCCCCTCCCCTTTATGAGTTTACACCCTTTATTTTTATATCTGCTTATAGTAGTTTTAGAGGTGTCTTCTAGTCCATAGATTTTATTTAGGTCTTACAATGATTTAAATGAAATTTTACAAATTTTTCCATAAAATTTATACAGATCTTCTGTTGTAACTTATTTCTGTGTACCAGCTAAATTTTTTAATTACTATATGCTTTAAAAAATGTAAATTGTTTGTTGTGATTAGGAACACTACTGATTTTTATATTTTGATCTTATCTCTATCTAGCAATCTTGGTTAACTCTTATTAATTCTGACAATTTGTCAGAATTTCTAGGGCTTTCTATTTAGACCAGGGGTCAGAAAAACTGATCTATGGACCAACTCTGGACCATTGCCAGTGTTTATATAGAAAGTTTGTTGGAAAACAGCCACGCCCATTCACATACTGTCTATGGTTGCTCAGAGACCACATAGCACACAAAGCCTAAAATATTTTATTACATGGTCTTTTATAGAAACTGTTTGCCAACCCCTGATGTAGACAATCACATCATCTGTGAATGCTATTGTTTAATTTTTTTCCTTTCCAATTCTTATATATTTATTTCTTTTATTGTATCAACTAGGACCCTGACATCCTCCACCCCAAAACAATGGTAAACAATAGTAGTAACAGCAGGCACATTTCTCCTTCATGATTTTAAAGAGAAAACTTCTAAAGTTTCACCATTTTAAAATGTGCTGTAGGTTTTAGTGTATACTTTTCATGAGTTTCCTTTTATTTCTAGTTAATTAACTGTTTTTTAACAGCTTTATTGAGGTATAATTTATATACCATAAAATTCACCCATTTTAAGTGTACAATTTAGTGATTTTTAGTAAATTTACAGAGTTGTGTGATCATCAACACAATTCAATGTTAGAACACTTTCATCACCCTAAAAAATCCTTCCTGCCCATTAACAGTCTCTCTCTGTCCCTACTCCCAGACACAGGCAACCACTAATCTACTTTCTGTCTCTATAGACCTAACTATTGTGGACATGTCATATAAAAAGAATCAGCCTTGGCCTGTGTGACTTGGTTGGGCATAGTCCCATGCACCTGGGGGTTGCCAGTTCATTTCCTGGTCAGGGCACATGCCTGGGTTGCAGGCTAGATCCCCGGTAGGGAATGTGCAGGAGGCAGCAATTGATGTTACACTCGCTCTCTCCCTCTCTCTAAAAATCAATACAAAAATCTTTGGAAAAACAAAAAAGAATCATACAATAAGTGGTCTTTTTGTTTGGCTTTATTCACTTAGCATAATTTTTTGAGGCCCATCCACATTATTACACATACTAGTACTTTGTTGCTTTTCGCTACCAAATAGTATTCTATCATATGTATATATCACATTTTATTCATTTACCAGTTGACGGATATTTGGATTGGTTCCATCTGTTGGCTATTATGAATACTACTACTATCAGCATCCATGTACAAGTCTTTGTATGGATATATGTGTTTATTTCTCTCAGGAAGATATCCAGTAGATTGCTGGGTCATATGCTAACTCTATGTTTAACATTTTAAGAAACTGCTGAACTGTTTTCTAAAATGGCTGTCCCATTTTACATTCCTATAGCAATGTATGAGGTTCCAGTTTCTTCACATTCTTGCCAATACGTGTTATCGTGTTTTATTAAAGCCATCATAGAGGGTGTTAAGTGGTATCTCACTTGGGTTTGACTTGCATTTCCCTGATGACTAATGACATTGAACATATTTACATGTGCTTATTAATCATTTGCATATCTTCCTTGGTGAAATGTCTATGTAACTATGTTGCCCAATTTTAAATTGGGTTGTATACATATGAGTTACAAAAGTGCTTTATATATTCTGGACACAAGTCCTTTATCAGATTTATCAAATATCCTCTCTCATTCTGTAGTTTTTCTCTTCACTTTTTTAATGGTGTCATTTGATGGACAAAGCTTTTTAATTTTAATTAATGGCATTTTATCGAAATTTTTTTATTACCTCAGCTTCAGAGTTGTATGAAGATTTACTCCCATGTTTTCTTCTAAGAATTATACAATTGTAGCACTTATGTTCAGGCTGAAATTCATTTTAAGTTCATTTTTGTGATGTGAGATAAGGATCTAAATTAATCTTTTTGCACATGGATATCCAGTTATTCAAGTTGTTTATTAAAAAGATTATTCTTTCCTGAATCTTGACACTTCTGTTAAAAAATCATAAATGCAAGGATTTCTGGACTCTCAAGCTATCCTTTGCCAGTACCACACTGTTTTGATTACTATGTATTTGTATTAAGTTCTGAAATTGGAAAGGAAGTGTGTCTTCCAATTTTGTTCTTTTTTTTCAAGACTGTTTTGGCTATTCTGGGTAACTTACATTTTCACATAAATTTAATAATCAGCTTGACAATTTGGCAGCTGGAACTTTGATAAGGATTGCATTGAATCTATAGATTAATTTGGAGAGAATTGCCATCTTAATGATACTGAGTTTGCCGAGCCATGAACATGGAAAGTTTCTCCATTCACTCACATCTCTTTATATTTCTTTCAGCAATGTTTTATAGTTTTCATTGTGCAAATTTTGTACTCACAGTGGTACCTCGGTTTTTTAATGTAATCCATTCCGGAAGACCATTCGAGTTCTGAAACATTCGAAAACTGAGGGATCAATAGCCAACAGCTACACCTCAGGATCCTACACTCAGCGGAAGCCCTGTGCATTTACTTCTGGGTTTACAGCATTTATAAACCAAAATGTCCATCAACGGAGACCCGAGGTACCACTGTATTTGTTAAATTTATTCCTAAGCATTTTATTCGGTTTGATGCTATCATGAATGGGATTTTTTTCTTTATTTTTGAACTGCTCACTGCTTATAAGTAGAAATACAGTTGATTTTTGTATATTAATCTTGTATATTTTGTGACTTTGCTGAACTTGTTTATTAGTTCTAATAATTTTTTTAGTGTATTTCTTATGATTTTCTATAGACAATATTGTATCTTCTGTATATGAAGACAGTTTTACTTTTTCCTTTCCAATCCGGATGCCTGTTATTTTTTTTCCTTGCCTGACTGCATATCCAGTGCAGTTGTACCTCTAGTACAATGCTGAATTAAAGTGGTGGAAGGAGACATCCTTGCCTTGTTCCTAATCTTAGGGGAAATATATTCCGTTTTTCAACATTAAGTATGATTTTAGCCATAGGTTTTTTACAGATTTTTTTAATCAGGTTGAGGAAGTTCTGTATTATCTCTAGTTTTATCACAAATGGGTGTTGGATTTTGTCAAGTGCTTTCCTGCCTTTAAGATGATCATATATATGGGTTTTGACCTTTATTAATATGGTACATTATATTGATTTTTTTATGTTAAATCAACCCTTTATTCTTGGGATAAATTCTAATTGGTGATGAGATATAATCCTTTATATATGTGTGTGTGTGTGTGTGTGTATATACATATATATTCCTTTATAGAATCATGCAATATATATATGTTGTTGAAGATTTTTTAATCTTTTCTTTGGAGGAATATTGGTCTGTAGTTTGCTGTTCTTATGTTTTTCTGGTTTGGTGTCAGGGTAATACTAGCCTCATAAAATGAGTTGGGAAGTGTTCTCTCCTGGAAGAGTTTATGAAAGATTGTGGGATGATTTTTAATATTACCAATTCAATTTCTTTACTTGCTATAGGTCTGTAGGTCTGTAGGTCTATAGATTTTCTATTCTTGAGTGAGTTTAAATAATTTGTAACCCTGTAGGTATTTATCTAAGTTGTCTAATTTGTTGCCATAAAGTTGTTCATTATATTCCTTTATAATCCTTTTAATCTCTATAAAGTTGGTACTGATGTGCCCTCCTTTGTTTTTAAGTATGACTGAATGTTTTTTATTCCTCAATTGAAATAATCATATAGACTTATCTATTTAATCTGTTCGTGACAAATCATATCAATAGAATTTCTATTGATAAATCTTTTTTTTCATTCCTTGAATAAAGCCAACTTGTTCATGATATTTTGATTACTATCTTACAGAATCCAACTTCCCTTTATTTAGAAATTTACATCTATATTATATTACATATTGGCCTTTCATTTTTTTCTTTAAACATTATCTTTAACAAGGTCATACTAGCTTTATACACGAGGTAAAGAGAATCCCCACACCCCCTTTCTGAAATCTGAGGTTTAATAAAGTTAGAATGTTGTGTTTTTATATTTCATAGAATTCACCTATAAAACTGACAGGCCTGTTTTATTAGTAGATAGGTTTTAAGTGATTTTTTCCATTTCTTTAATGGATATGGCAGAGGTGATATTCAGAATATTGAAATAACCAGCACTGCATGAAAACTAGCACTCAAAATTGACGATGATAGCAGTGCTGGAAGTGGGTCCTGGATTTACTTTATTGTGTAAAGGGGGACTTTAGCTACTAGATCATAAGGAGATTGTGAGGGAGGTATCCCTAGAAGAGAGGCCAGGTAAACAGACGGTGCCAGAATATGACATCTTGGGATTCAGGATAGTGGCTATTTATCAATCATTATAGAAGTTCAATCTTTTGAAAACCACTTTAGCTGTACTAGTGCATATTGGTTAAATATCAGTTCTGGTAATAGTTCTATTTCAGGTTTTCTATTTCTTCCTTGGTCAGTTTTGCTAAGGTCTATTTTTTGAGTAAACTATGTTATCAAAGTTTTCAAATATACTGGCATAAAGCTGATCTTATCTCATTCTATATTTTTTATTGTCTCCTTTTTCATTGCTAAGATTTTTTGTGTCTCATTTCTCCTGATGAATCTTACCAGAGAACTGTATATTCAATTAGGTTTTTTAAAGATCAAAGATCAGGCTTTAAAAAAATCTTTATTGTATTTTCATTTTAAATTTCATTAATTTCTGCTTTTTCTTTATCATTTCCATATATCTACACTCATCAGGCCTTTTTTTATCTTGTTCCAATTTCCACCCCCATCAGATTACAGATTTGGGTTAATAAGCATCTTCTTTTAAGGATGCACCATCTCTGAGATTCGGTGGGGGGTTTTTAGTAAAATGCTTAGTTCATTAATTTTCAGTCTATCTTCTGATTTATCTATGATTTCTTCTTTGATCCATGAACTATTTCGAAAGTGAATTTGTAAGTTTCCAAAAATGGGAATTTTTAGTTACCTGTGTTAATTAGACTATACTGAGGTCAGGGAAAATGGTTTGTGTAATAACAGTTCTTTGATATTGGTTGATACTTTGTAGTTCAGTACGTGCTCATTTTTGTACATATTCTAACGCTGCTTCAGAGGATGTATTCACTAATTGTTGGGAGCCGAATTCTGAATATGCCTAATAGATCAAGCTTATTAATAAATCAAGCTTATTTTTAATCTTTTTAAATCTTCTTTAGCCTTACTAATTTTTGGTCTATTGTATCTATTATTAAATGAATGGATGGTGTTAATATTTTCCAATAAGAAGAGAATTCTGATTTTTTTCTTGTAATTCTGTCTGTTTTCACTTTTTATGGTTTGAGGCTATGTTATTAGGTGTACATAGGATAAAGATTCTTTTATATTCTAGCAAAACAAACCTTTTACTATAGTCCCTTTTTATCACTAATAATGCTTTATGCCTTAAACTCTGGTTTGTCTACTATTAACGTAGATACAACTGATTTTCTTTGATTGTATATGTCTGTTATTTTTTCCCATCATTTTACTTTCAAACTTTCTGTGTTTGTATGTTTGGGGTATATCCATTACAAAGAACATAGAGTTGGGTTTTGTTTTATAATCCAACCTAACATTATGTTTTAACTGACTAGTTTAGTCCAAATACATTTATTGTGATTGATATTTATATGATCTGCCTACCATATTTTTGTGCTTCTGAATTTACCTGTATGTTTTTTTAAATCCTCAAAGATATGTTTTTATTAATTTTTAGAGAGGAGGGGGGAGAGAGAGAGAGAAATATCAATGTGAGATGAAATATCCATTGGTTGCCTCCCACACATGCTCCAACTGGGGCGAGGATTGAACCTGCAACCAAGGTAAGTGCCCTTGACCAGGAATCAAACCTGAGACCTTTTGGTCCACAGGTGACTCTAACCACTGAGCCAAACCGGCCTGGGCTCCACTCTTTAAATAATCAATTTCTCTATCAGGAGACATTTTATTAAAGTGTTTCACAACAGAGGCATTACTGACATTTTAGGTGAGACAACTGGTCCATTGTGCAAACTGTCTGTCCCATGTACTGCAGGATGTTTTGACACTTATCCCTGCTGACTAAATGCCAGTGGAAATCCTCCTCTCTTATCCCATAGTGACAATTAAAACTGTACCACACATTATTTCCAAATATTCTCCTAGGGATCAGTACCACTCCAACAGACTAACTACTCTTTTAATGATAAAAACACAGTGCAAATATGACAAAATAAATAGATTTAGAATTGAAAGACCAACGAGTAAAAAATACTTCTGTTCCCCAAAGGAAATAACAAAATATTTTTCCTTAAATTTAGGAAACTCATCTTATAAACCATTTTCCACTGTTAACTATGCTACTTGGTCTCCTCTCCACATACTTTTTTTAGTTGCAACATATGACTAAGTGCAAGTAACAAAAGGTAGAATCACTTTTTGACTGTTTTTCACAAAACTAGTTTCTTTCTCCTAAAGAGACACAGAACACTGAATTTGTTTACCATCTAAAAAAAATTTTTTTTTGTTTATAATCCTAACATGATCTCCTATTCACAAACCTGTTGGTGTCCCAAATAATGACATTTCCATCAAATCCTGATGTTACTAAGAGTCTTGTATTAGTATCATATTCGATGTTCTTCACCCAGCTAGTGTGACCATGTAAAGTGCATACTTTGGTGTTCAATTTTCTCAGATCCCATAGTGCTATTGTAGTGTCATCAGAGCAGGTAGCAAACAGCCGGTTATCAAGAAATCTATAAAGCAGAAAAGAAAAACTGGTTTATTTAATCTCTTATTTAAGAAATCTTGAGAAACAGTTTCTGTATTACCTAATTAAGAAAACCAACAAAAAAGGACTACAAACTCACTGTATAAACCCAATGATTCTGATATACAATAAACAGTAAGTATAATTCACATAATCACAGAGAACAAAACTATGATCTAATGAGGGCCACATGGCAATATTATCCATTGCCTTTAAAATACTGATTTTTATTTGAAAATGAAAACAGGGATAGGTGTTTGTAGTACAGTGCTAAAGAGAAAGAAGAACTTTAAAATCTGTATAGGAAACACAAATGGTGAGAAACAATTTAATAGGAGACAGAGGAGGTTTTGAAGACTTGATTTCCAAGGAAGACATGTTAAGCGTAAAGGGTTTAAAATTATGAGAAATGTTTACTCTGCTACAAGTAACATCTCTTTCTATTTAGAACACATTTACATACAAAAAATACTATTAAAATGCCATCATTTTCATCTACTACTTCAAAAGCATTCCCTAAATAATCTCACTTAGCACCATTTTATTAGGACCAGTCAAGATTACAAGACAGAGAATTAAAATACTCTTTAATGCAAACTTTTAATTCTTTGACACTAATTTTCGATCCTTAGTGAGAATATATTTTATACAAATAGTTAAAAATAACAAACCTACCAATCACACTTGAATTTCTGTCTAGTTCAACATTGGGACACTTTTTCTAACCTATGCTGTTTTCTATAACTTCCTAAATTCTTGCAGAAGAAATGAATTCTGGAGCTTCTTCCAAGATAAAATTATATATAATTATTTTCTATCAGAAATAAACCTTAATATCCACAAATACCATAATGACTTTCCTGAAATTTAACACAGTTTTAAAACTTCATGCCTCTGTTTAGGCTATTTCTCTACCTGAAACTACCTCCTCCTCCCCCTTCACCTGGGTAAAAATTGTTTTCTTTTTAATATTTAGCTAGCATCCCTTCCAGGAAGCCTTCCTTCTCTATCCAGCCTGGGGTAGATTTACGAATGGTCTAATCTTTCAAAGCACTCTACACTTCTATTACCAAGCTTAATATTACAATGTACTTTGCAAACCTATCTCCTTGAAGGCAGGGGGACCCTGTCTGCATAGTTCATAGTTACATCTGCAATACCCAACACACAGTGCTGGGCACATAATAAACACTTATATTTATTAAATGGATGAAAGAGATAGGAGTTCACTGCCTGGTGGAAAAGACATTATAAATACATGTTAATAATTATACAAGATAATTGTGTGGAATAAGCAAAGAAAACAAAGTGGTTAGAAAAGACTTCAAGGTGGTGTCTTTGAACTGACTTTCAAAGAAGTGAAAAACTCCTACAGAGGTATGTAAGGATGATGTACTCTGAGAGGCTTTTAGGAGTGCTGCATATGGAAATGCAGAGACACACAGAGAATATATCATAGATTTATTCTATAATGATTACGGGTAATTATCTGTTAATTACAAATATATGCCCATTGAAAGTAATTTTTTTTTTAAACATATCTTTATTGATTCCAGAGAGAGGAAGGGAGAAGGGGAGAGAGAGATAGAGACATCAATGATGAGTCATTGATCAGCTGCCCCCTCCATGCCCCCGACTGGGGACCGAGCCCCAAACTTGGGCATGTGCCCTGACCGGGAATCGAACCCTAATTGCCTGGATCCTAGGTCGATGCTCAACCGCTGAGCCATGCCTAGCCAGGCTGAAAATAATTTTTAATGGAGAAAAAAAATCCACCACCAAAAATAACTGCTGTTCTTGTATTTCAAACCTAATATTATGTCATAAATATTCTGCCATGTCATTAAAGATTTATTGACAAAATCATTCTTAATGGCCGAGTAGCATTCACTGTATGAATAACCATAATCTTTTTTCTTTTTTAAACTAAAATGCAATTGTTGGATGTTTAGATTGCTTCCAATTTTTTACTATTATAAAATGTTACGATGAACATCCTGACAGCCGAATATTAGTCACATCCCTAGTTATTTTTCTAAGTACATTCCCAGAAAAATGTATTGCTAAATAAAAAGGAATTCTAAAAAAAATGTAAGGCTTTTGATATTTACAGCCAAATTATCTTCAAAAGAATATACCAATATATAGTTCCACCAGCTGTTAGGAGAGTGTCCATTTCTCCAAACCCTTGCCACACAGATATTTTAAAAATTCTGCTAAGTACTAGGGGGAAAAATCATCTTGTTTTAAGTTGAAACTTTTATTTTTAGTAAAAGTGAACTTTTTAAATACTAACAGGAAGATTATAATTCTTTTGTGAATTCAAGTTCCTTACTGATTTTCCTTTTGCAGTATTTTTATTATTGAGTTATAAAATCTCTTTATAGTAATAATTATATACCTTAGTTTCCCAAATACAGTGTGTTAAATGTATTTACCACATATATTTCTATCTTTCATTATGGTTTATGTGTTTTCTTACTATATCAAAATTTTAATTATTGTCAAGTCCATTTTTCCCCTTATAGTTTTACCTTTTCTGATGAAGCTTTTTAATGTGTTCCACACATGACAGGAATTATATAATTGCAAAAAACACAATGACAAAAGGCTACTGAAAGTCAGTCAAACTTTTAAAATAAATTGATCACCATCTAAGAGTATCTTCATACATTTGAAAATTTAGGGAAAAATATAACTAAGGTATTTTGTTTAGTCTAGAGAAAATACTTAATGCACATATGGATTGAAAACTCCAGTGAAATTATATTGCTTAGGCCATAGTAGTCTACCCTGAAGAGTTTAATTAAGGTAAGAAAGTAACATGATTAAATAAGAATTTCAGAAATATCTCTGAGGTGGTTAGGTTCCAAAATTCTTGGATTTTCATAAAAAAATAAAGTGGGGGATCAGGTGTTAAATTTTTGTCAATAAGGCTATTGAAAAACTTACCATTGTTACATGAAAGCTATTTTAAAACCAATAATGTAGAAAAAATATAATCTTAAAAACTAGTAATTTTGAATTGAATAAATTTACCTTAATGAAAAATTCAGTACTTTAGTTTTCTCATTTTTTGCCTCAAAGTATTACTTGTTAAAAATTCTGGTATCAGCCCAGCTGGCATGGCTATGGTTGAGTGTCGACCTATGAACCAGTAGGTCACGGTTTGATTCCCAGTCAAGGCACATGCCCAGGTTGTGGGCTAGATCCACAGTGGGGGGGCGGGCAGAAGGTACCTGATCAATGGCACTCTCTCATCATTCATGTTTGTATCTCTCTCGCCCTCTCCCTTCCTCTCTCTCTGAAATCAATAAAAACATATTTACAAAAAAATTAATTAGTATCAGAGCCCTGGTCAGATCAGTTGGTGAGAGCATTGTCCTAATATAACAAGGTTGTGGGTTTGATCCTTGGTCAGAATCAACCAATGATGCATAAATAAGTGGAACAACAAATCTCTCTCTCTCCCCTCCCCCCCTCAAATAAATTTTAAAAACTTTGGTATTAGAGAATCATTGGTAAAGAGACTAGATAAATTATAGAAAAATAAAAATGTAGACTAGGAGACCAGTTAAAGCACCTACAGTTCTTATCCCAGAGTAAGCAGATGCAGAGAATGTAAAATTTTAGACAAGTTCTTGGAGATCTGGTCTAATCCTCTCAAATGAAAACTCAGTCAGCCTTATCAGTTAATAACTGTAATATGCTTTTAACTCCGTAGTCTCTAATAAACAGGAGACACTCTTTCACACACATTGAAATCTATGTTTCTGAATTATAGAACTTCTCCATATGTCCTCATCAAACCCCAACATATCACTATAATATCTGTGGATAAATTGATATCTGGATAAACTGAGGTCTTCATTATCAGAAGATAACTGATAAAGGATAACTGCAACTGAAATTGAATTTTTTTAAAAACAGGCACCAACATTTCATTATACAAGAGAAACTGTTCAATATTTATCTAAAAATAATAACTAAAAATCATGAAAATAAGTCTTTCTTACATTTATTTAACTACATGCAAGTTCTTAGAACAAGAATAAATTAAATGTGGTTTTTTTTGCATAACCTTTCCAATGAAATTATGACAGCAGAATATTGCATCCTTACTTCATACTTGAGTTTTGTACTATAATCACAAAGAGGATTGTTTTCTGTATAATATTTGAGGGCTTTATCAATTTTCCCAAGGGCCTTTTCTTAGTCCTGTGAAATACTCACATAATTTTTCAAAGTACCTATCATGTCATCATTTCTGTCATTTTCTTTTCTCTAATTGATAACCTGTCTAATTTTATCAAATCCTCATTTTCCAATGATTTTATATGTAATAAATTCTATAACATCACTCTCAGGGTTTTGTGAAATTCTAGATCCTTTGCAAGATAAGAAATTTCATGTTTCCCAGTGATAAGCACTGAATTTATAGTATGTTGTTTGAAATAAAACAATCAGAAAAAGACCAACAAAGACAGTGGGAGGGAAAAATAGATTCAGGGATATTGAAATGTTTTTTTAACTGCCATATCACTAAGTAAATATTCTTATGATAACCTCAGTTCCCCCTGTAACTACATAACTGGAGGGAACTTGATTATTAAATGGATTCTTAAATCCACATACAGAGTTCTCAGGAATGATAAGTAAGCCTGTACGATGGATTTAAGAATTTAAATTATATACTTTCCCTAAATATGAAGCAACAGAAAATACTCTCCACAACTATCAACATTTTTTTTTACAAGATAAGCAAACCTCAAAACTACAAAATGAACTAGAAGACATTACTAAATATATGCAAAATGACTCGCTAGAATCAAACCAGGAAGTGCATGCCCACATCTCTGAACAGGACAGTGAGGCGGTCTAATGGAACTGAGTATGAATTCCAGCTTTACCCCTTATTATATATAAGACCTTGGGCAAGTCTCTTTATCTGGGCTGCAGTTTCTTCACTCCTTAAAATGGGTACAA